TGGAATTATCTGTGCTAAAGCTTGAGGTAATTCCTACGCAGTCTGCTCTGTTCTGGTCAATGGCTCGGGTAGAAGGCGAGTTCAAAATGCTCCAGGATGTGCTTTCTTGACTTCTTGAAATCACATTTTGTATGAAATTGGTGTCACCGCTCGAGTCTGATTTCTTTGATTGAGTAATGGCAGACTTGTTGTGCGAGGGAGGTGTGAGGAATTCTTCATCTGAATCCGGAACACAGTCATCCAGTTCCACGGCGTCAGTGGATAATCCATACCGCTTCAGCCCGTCCTGGGGTAGAATGCCTTCGTAGGGGTTGACTTTCCTCTTCTTAGTGCTATCTTCTTGCTGCGCCAATGAAGATTTCTTGGTCGGCGGCTTCGAGACCGATGACTGGTTCCGCCGATCGGCCGCATGCCGAGAGGGCGAGGATAAACTGGGCATCATCTCATTGAGAGGATCGCTCCCGAAGTCTCCCAGCACATCCTTCGATGTTTCCTTCACGTCCCGTTTACGACGTGATTTTGAAGTGCTTGTCAAACCAGCGCGGCGTATAGCTGACCGAGTCCCGGGAGTTGAGGCAGGCGGCTCGGTACCAAGAATATCGTACACATCAGGGAAGCTCTCATTTTGCGCTGTATCAGCTCTGCTTATCCCATTGCTCTTCCGTTTCTTGCTGCTACGAGGCAGTGGTGACCATAAAGCACTAGTAGTGTCCCATACTTGAACGTCGTCACTCTTTTCTGTCGAGGCAGTTACACCGGTGAGATCCTTTGTAAGATCCATGCATTCTAGGTCATCTGCGTCGAAATCGGTGAGATCCAGACTCGGGTTTGGCGACGTAAGTGCTCGGGAGGTACTCGGTTTTCCAGGAGAATGCTTTCGCATGCTCTTTGGTGTGTTTGAGACTACCCATGTATCAGCATGATGCACTTATTGAGGCATATTGGCTTGACATACCAGCATCGTTTCGGGTAGGCGCCGGTCGAGCCTTTGATCTAGGGTTATCAGTGGCAGATGGAGTTGGAAGTTGCTTCTGTGGTTGGGAAATCAGAGCAGGCCTCTTGGACTTCGTAGTTGAGGCCAATCGAACCATGCTGTCGTCCAACACTGTTACTTGCGGTGTGTCCACGAAGTCCTCCCCCCACCCATTTAGGTTGATAGCATTATCTAATGCGTGACTTCGCGGGCGGGAATTTGTCTGTGAGCCTATACTTGAAGATGATCGAAGTTGGTACGCCGCGCCGGTTTCAATGGAAGACGGCTGCGACGTATTGGAGGAAGAGGAGTCGCCAGCGGAGGGAAACGTTCGCAGAGGTGGTTTCGATAACGCGACGTTGCTGAGGAGCCAGGAGAGTTGGTCGGCAAGGTTATTTCGCGTCATGAAGATGACGAATCACTGCCCGGCTGGTGATAAAGAGCAACAATGGCTTACATTTGAGGACTGGAAAAATAAGTCGTCCGTATCGACCAAAACTCAGCCTGTTGTAATCACGCTTTAGTCCATCACAATGCTCCACATACATGGTCGACGACCGTGAACCATCGCGTACCGCGTCACGTTAGTCAGCAGGAACGAGATCACGTGGCTTGGCGTTCGACCTCCACCTGTTTGTGCCAGGGAACACCACTGCCAGCATCCACGCGGAGTATGGACCGTTATCCATTGTAGCACATTTGGCTTGCTGAATTTATTTGTCCTTCGTAGATTCGTTTGTGGCATCTGAATCCCTAATATAGTGCTGTCCGCATCACACATCTTTCTCCAGATGGAGTTTTAGAGCCTACAGCACTCGCCGGGCGAAGCAATGAAACTAGTCTTATCTCAGTCATATAACTTCTCTCATCACTTAGTTGCCCATCTTTGGGAGGAATCTCGATGTATTTTCATCTTTAACAGTCAATTAAACTGCAAAAACTGCAACCGGCCGCCGCCGCGGCTGTCGGCGGCATCGGTGGACCCGGAGACAGGCCGGCCGTTATATTCCCGAGCCGGGTGGGTCTCGGTCCGGATTGAGTCACGCTGGTATCCGTGATTGGCTCTAGCCCGCCGCTTTGTTGCTGGTTTTGAATACAACAATTGCCCGACTTGCATGCTGCGACGGAGAAGTAACGCATATGGTGTAGATGTGGAAGTCCTTTCTTATCTGGATCCATATTCTGAGGGAGAATGTCCTGGTCATCATGCGATTCCGGTGTCAAGTCGACACAGTTGTAGAAGTCATCAAACTCGTGAGACACTCACTGTCTTTCTGCCCAAAGCCCCCGTCGGCAACAAGCCGTCGCCACTCAAGAGGGAAAACTGGAGTCACCGGAACCAGCCGTATATTCTTGGGATGGAGTATCGGGCTGTTGGCTGCTTGCTCCAGCCATTCGGCGGTGGCGGCTGTCGGCTTCAGACCGCAACTCACGACTGCCTCATCTAGGGACAAATTTCCTTGCCTCGGGGTCAACCCGTTCATAAAGAGGCAGCTAGCATTTCCACCTAGCCCTGTTTCATCATCCAAGTCCTTCATTGTACCACAGCGTTTACATCATTCTTACACAGTCTCCCTACAGCGGTGAGACCAGAATCCCTCATGCTTTGCTGAGAACAATGACCCCGGACAAGGAAAACACAGAGCTTGTAGAAGGCCTCCCCAGTACTATGACGGACCATGAGAGTGATGGCCCCCAGCCGGAAGTGGAGGACAAATCAATTTGCACATACCTGCGCCAAGATATTCGAGGTTCCATATTCACAGAACTTCAACTCGTCATTCTGACATTCTGCACCGGAATGCAAGGTAAGATCCCGCGATATTGGCACGTCATCACGGCAGAGAAGAGTCATTAATACAAGTTTCATCCTTGTAGATGCTACGACGTTCCCTGACTATCACTGCTTTGCGTCCAACCAGACCGGCAATACTGTCTTCTTGTGCCTGACACTCATCCTCCCGCAGTTGAACGGCGAAATGTTCTTTACGCCCAACATCGGCATGGCACTGGGCCTCTTCCTTGGAGCCGGTTGGCTCACGGGCCAGCTTAGCCACGTTATCGGACCCCGAAAACGATGGTGGTTAATATTCTGTAACCTGGTCCAATCGAGCTTCGTCCTTGGAGCAGCAGCGATCCAATACCGATACGGAGTCAAGTCACAGGGACCCCAGGCATTGGCTGTCATTGGATTACTAGCCTTTGCCGCTGGAAGCCAGGTTGTCCAATCCAGAAGTCTGTCGATGACGGAAATTAGCACTGCCATGGCGACGGCAGCGTGGGTTGATCTCATGATTGACCAGAAGCTTTTCGTGTTAAAAAACCGGCCTCGTACTCGGCGCATTTCATTTCTCTTGGCTCTCGCCGTGGGTACGCTTGTCGGAGCTGCGATTTACAGAGAGGTAGGCTCAGCTACCACCATTGTGGTTTCGGGAGCTGGCAAACTACTTGTGACGTTCCTGTACTTTTTCTCTCCCGCTGAAAAGGCCACGAAGGAGAAGTCCCCTGTATAATTGGCGACGAATTAGTGAATTTGGTGTACAGGTGGAGATTTTAACATCTTGGTGATGATTGTTGTTTCGAGGGCTAGGAGTTTCGTTTTTATAGCATAGCGCGGGATATCCTTTACTAGAGCAAAAGCATATGAGAACACAAATGAGGCTGAGAGGCAGTATTATAGAATACAGAGTACTTTATGCCGGTACCGTCTCATGAGTCAAGGAAAGTTTGTACCGTGAAAAACACCGACATGATAGCTGACGACATTGTAATCAGATTCTGGTGTTGCAATAGAGAGCTACGCTGTGAAACACCGGGTTAAACCGTGACTCTGGACACTGTCAGTCAAACAGCGTATATCGTCGTGGTTGTCCAGCGTATTTGTCTCGGAGCAGACTTCCAGACGATGCGTACCAAGGTTATGCAACCATTCGAATGTATTCAATACACCCCACATCATGTACTTGACATGATAACGTGTCACACAGAACAGATGGTCCAGATTAATTGAGACTAGGTGTTGACGGTTCGTCATCAAGAGCCTCGTTGGGCAATTGGCAATCGAGAGTGCTCGGTTCTTAAAGGGTGGACTATTAGAGCTCGGGACTAATGGCACTGGACAAGAAATTCCGTGCGAGCCACTCCGTGCGCCGTACACCAAGTCAATTCATGATTGTTCGTGGCCGAGGAATCATGGATTTTCCTGCCGCGCTGAAAGGATCATTGACACAAGAAAGGAAATGAGCCGGTGTGTCGCCTTCCACTTTGCCTTCCCCCCTTTTCCCTTCCGTGAAAGAGAGGAAGGTGCGTTCACGCTACCAGGTGCTAGCTACCTACCTAGGTAGGCTGCAGCGGGCGGGGCGGTTGGTCCCTGACTCCCCTCATCCTCCACGGTTCCAATGTCGGCGATGGCGGTTTCAACTTTCAAGCAGAAAATGTGCCTGGCGCCATATTGTACATATCCTTGGATGCTTTTGCCCAGGCACCAGTACCCCTCTGTCCTCTGGCCTGTGGAAGAATTCACGATGCACCAGCATGGGACGACCAATCTCGGGTCCAAATCCCTGTCGGTTTCAAGTCGTCTCTCCATGTAGGAGGCAAGATGTAGGCGTGTGAATTTCGCCTTTGGCTTCTCGCTTCTCCAACTTCAGGGTGCAACGTTGACTCCAAATACGGTTTGCGGCCTTCAGCTCCCCTCCTTGGCCGCCTGGGCCAACATCATCATCGTCTGCTTTGTATAAAGCCTTGCCCAATCCCATCAATAATGTTCACACTATTGTCCTCATTGCCAGCTGCAAACGCCTGCCCTCGTCGTCTTGTCCTTAGCATTCATCCCTTCTGTTGTCACCATCATCGCAGCTGCTAAGGAGTGGCCATTCGTTCTTCGGCTTTTCCCAATCTTCCCAATATTGTCATTTCCCAAGTTGCCATTCCCACAGCACCCGTCTGGCTCTGCCAAAAGTCCACAAGTCCCAAGTCGTTATCAAAATACCCTGCCTTTCATCCCAACTTGTTGCTCAAGTCAATCATGGCTGCCTCAGATTTGCCGCAATTGCCTGCTGCCCATTTGGGTCTGGCAAGTTACATTGCCGAGAACCCCGGCAAGCCCAAACCTTATCGCAAGTTTGAAGCTCGTTTGCGGGAGATTTACGCCCAAGATCGCCAGAATCCAATTCTGAACGATCCATACCTCAACCTTGTTCCCCTCTTTACTGAAGACACGGCCAAGATCACGACTCGAGCAAGAGACTTGTCTGCCGAGTCTGAAGATGAAAAGTCCAGATATATCATGCCGCTGCCTGCCGACAAGCGAAGGCCTCATGGCTCAGCTGCCACCGTGGCCGACATCACGGAATTCCAGCACAACTTCAACATCTTTTCGGAGTCTTCGCTGGTTGGGGTCGATTGGAATAATGTGGTCGCCGCTGGTTCTTCTGTCGTTAACTGTTTACTGCCGGTGCCCAAAGAGTTCAAAGTTTCAAAGCGCAAGCTGCGCGAGTACTATCACGAAAAGTTCTGTCCAGCATCTGATGTCGATCTGTTTCTTTATGGACTGACCCATGACCAAGCCATTGAAAAAATAAAACAGATTGAGCGTGCCGTCAAGGACGCTCTTTTGAATGAAGTCACGGTTGTACGCACCAAGTATGCCATCACGATAGCAAGCCAATATCCCGTCCGTCATATTCAGGTAAGCTTTTCCGCTATTTACAAAGTCACCTTGCTGTCTGCCGCAACGCTAAGGGCTGATTGCAGATCGTTCTTCTTGTGTAAAAGTCTGTCAGTGAGATTCTAACCGGCTTTGACATCGACGCTGCCGGCGGTGCCTACGACGGCAAACAGGTTTATGTTACTCCCAGAGCATTGGGAAGTTTCATTGCTCAGATCAATCACGTGGATCTATCTCGCCGCAGCCCTTCTTACGAGAATCGTCTGTCCAAGAACTCGCACCGGAATTTCGAGGTTTACTGGTCAGACCTTGACCGAACCAGAGTTGACCCTACCATTTTTGAGCGAAGCTTCCAGCGCACACTCGGTCTAGCCCGACTTCTGGTTCTTGAGAGGTTACCCACCAACCATGCTCGTGAAACCTATCTTAATAAGCGACGAGCTGAGCGTGGCAGACCTGCGCGATACCGAACCTTCATGCCTATGCGAGGCAATATCAAGGATTCCCATGAGGATGAGGTAGCCGACGGCTTTCAGAGGTGGATGTCAGTGACTATCACACTTTGACTGTTCCGTACGGAGAAAAGTTCAACGCCAAGAGAATTGAAAAGCTCTGCTATACCAGAGACTTGCTGCTGAACGCAGAGTGGAACCAGCCAAAGGAGCGTGAAGTATACCTTCATCGTCACCCTGCATTCTTTGGTCGCGTAGAAGACGTCATTGAAGATTGCTGCAGTTGCTGTCCAAAAGCAATCACACCCGAGGAAATCGAGATTTCAAAGAGGGAGGCAGAAATCTATATTTCGGGAAAAGTTTCATTCCTTATTGACGATCCAGGTCGTCAGCAAATTGGGTCTTTCAATCCGCTTACAGAACAAGATTGGACGGACATGGCATATGTCGGAAATACTGCTCGACTTTGTCAGTCAATCGTTGACGGCGACATCGACGACGTGCTCAACTGGCTTTCCCAGGAAGAGGCCGACCCTAACAAGCGTGACTACACTGGGCGAACGCCATTGCATCTTGCTGTGATGACTTCGACCCCCGATATTGTGAAGTGTCTAGTTGATCATGGGGCACGCCTCACGGGAGTCACGGCTCGTCTAGCCGATGGTGAACCGCTCTGCATTTGGCTGCCGCTCGCGGCAATGCAGAAATGATAAAGATTATCATGGAAAAAAGCATTGAAAACGAGGAAGCTGAAGAAGAGAGGCAAGCTAGGCGCCGTAAGACTGTTCATGGAGATAAGGTTGATGGCGCCAGGATATTGCAAGACACAGAAAGCAAAGAATCAGACGGAGAAGAAGAGGCAGAAAAGGATGAGGAAGAAGGCGAGGAGAAGTCAGATGAAGAATCAGACGGTGAACTCGTTGATGACGAAAAGACTGATCTTGATGTGCAGTCCCTCGCCACCGGCTCCTTCATTAATGTTTCGAAAAAGAAAGATGGTGAAAGCACAGATGATCTAGTTCCAGCACAGTCTGAAGACGAACCAGAATATTACCAGATTGATGTGCTTGCTTGGGATACGCCTTGCTCACCACTACATGTCGCTATTGTCGAGGGCCACGAGGAGACTGTCAAGCTATTGTGTGATGTAAGTCCCTGCGAATCCTAGAGAGGCATTCGGTTTTCTCGCGCTTTGTTAACACTAGCTCTAGTATGGCGCCGACTCGATTTTGCTAGTGAAGTTTCTCAACAATAATAACGAGGCAGACACGACGGCCCTTTTGACGCTTACCCTGGCTCTTGGTCTCCGGAAAGACAAAGCTATTTTCATGGCTCGGCTGCTACTGAAGCTTGGTGCAACGTCTTCCCAGGCAGATGCCCAAGGATGCACGGCTTTCTACCGTTTTATAGAACATGGTGACATGAGCTAGTTAACACTCTGCTGGAGAACGATAAGATGGGTGTGAAAACGGCAATCAATCACATTGTATTTGGTGGCTACAGCTGGAATCCAGAAACCACCTCGCCAATTCACGGTGCTGTTCAGCACGGTGACCCCATGCTGATCCTCAAACTCCTCGACGCGGGAGCTGTTCCTGAAGCTGATTTTGATACTTGGCTGAAAGCTGCCAAGATTGCGCCGCATCTTTCCGGAAATATCGGCGACCTTGACCGCTCCAAGAAGACTTACAAGCGGTCTTACGAATCTCCATTGTGCACTGCTATTCGGTATGGGAATATCGACGGCGCAATGAGGCTATTTGAAAACGGAGCCAACATCAATGCAATGACACACGACACAAATGATGCCTTCGACAATGATTGGCGCTGGAGATACACAAAGGGAACATCGGTCTTAGATCTCGTACGCGACATGATTGAAATACTATCCGAATATGATGGGGAAAAGTCAACTATCACTAAGCCAGAGATACAGTCCGGCTTAGACGCCTATCTTGAAAAGCTTAAGCCCGGCACACACAAGCATTGGCTAGTCTCTCTAGATGTGCAAATCAAGAAAAAAGACTTTAGAACCAGTGTGCAGTCTTACGAAAAGCACACCGAAGCAGTAGATAATATTAAGGGTGCTCCGGAGAAGTTAGAGGCTGTAACGGAAGCCTTAGCTGCGTTCAAGTCTCTTGAAAAGTTCATGGTTTCCAAGGGAGCCAAGGCATTTGCCGAGCTGTATCCAAATATTGAATGCGAGAAGCGTAAGAAGACTTCCAGGGATGATGGAGAAAAGGACAGGGAGAAGGACTACGAGTACGAATTTATTTTCAGGACTGACAAGGACATGACTGAGGCGAGACGCGATGGATATATTGAACTGTAGGTCCACTCTTTCCATATTTCATTCATACCGCTCATACTACGAACAGCATGGAGGCTGCCTGGAGTGGCAATCTAGAACGCATCAAGGAACTGACGCTCCAAGCTTGGGGCACGCGGAGAGATCAACCTCCGCTCAAGATCGTCATTAGTGACAATGATAACAACTCTCCATTCTCCATCGCTTTCCTGCATGGCCGTTTTGATGTTGCAAAGGCAATTCTGGAGATTGTCAAAGCTCAATGGTCCCCTGCAGACAAAGATGAGGTTCGCTATAGGACGAAACAAGATCCGCCAGACGACCAGGATGATTATTACAGTGACGAGGACGCGTCTGAAGAATCAAATAGCGAGCCACAGCTTGAATCTCGGGTTGTTGACAAGAACTTCACCATAGAGGATATCGGCCAGGTTTCTATGCAGGTCAAGTCCTCTATTACTCCATTGCAGCATCTTTGCGATAGTGTGTCAACGTTCAATGTCAGGGACGGCGAAGCTTCCAAAGCTAAACGGAATCGTCGTACACTCTTCCAGCATGTTATGGAAAATGACAATGTCTCAGGATTGAAAGTACTCTTGGATATGGCTCAGCATTTCAGCGAAGAAAAAACATCAAGCAATCATGCTGACGAAGCGAGTTCCAAATTTACATTCTCTGAACGAGACTTCCGCTGGGCCGTGGAGCACGGAAAGACACAAATGCTATCTCTCATTATCAAGCGAACCGGCGCAGGAGTCCCTCTAGATCATCTTGTGAAGAAGAGTGGTGTTGAAGTAAGGGAAAAGCCACGGTATTACCAGGGGCTTACCGTTCATGGGGAAAAAAGGTATGTATTGTCTAACTCTCATTGCTCTTCACGTGTTTTGGAACTTGCTAACAGACATCTCTTTACAGAAAGGATTGGGCAAATGCCGGCCGAAATGTGGTGAGCAGAACCAGTGGCATGAAGACTCCGCCGCTGCTGCATGCTGCACTGGAAGGATCAGTCGATGGTGTCGAGTTCTTGTTGGGCGATAAGCCACACAGGCTCTATACTGAGTTCGGCAAATCCAGGGCTGCTCACGAGGACTCGAGATTCAAACATTTGAAAGAGAGCCCTGGAGGCTTTAACCGCGCCATTTCAACGTGGCTTGGTGCTGATAGTAAGCTCCCTCTGTCTAGCCAATATCTATATCTACGTTGTCTAACCGTATTAAACAGATGACTTGGTCATTCATTGTGCAGTTTTGGGCAAATCCAAGGAGTCAGCGGAATTGGTGGAGTACCTAGTAACAAACTGTCCCGAGTACCTTGAAAAGAAAACATCTGAAGGAGAAACTCCCCTGATGATTGCATGCAGGCTTGGTCGAACAGACTTTGCCAAGATTCTCATTGACGGCGGAGCCGATCAGTCAACTCGAAATTTAAAGGGCGAGAACATTCTTCATGCGTGTCTTTCCAGGCTTCCCAAGGCTGCTCAACTCAAGCCCATGTTGGACCTCTTTGACGCCGAGCTCAGAAGCCATCTTTTCCTGCAGCGTAAGAACATTACAGAAAACGGCACCACGCCTCTACACACTTGGATCTGCCAAACTTCTGGACTTGGACCCGCCGGTGAAATCGAACAATACTATAGCAACTATTACAATCGCCGTGGAAGATATATCTCAAACGAAACCTACTCTGACGGAAAAGATGTTGTCGACATGCTCAAATTGCTCCTCCAGTACTCCAAGGGCGAGGAACTAGACATACTCAACGGAGCCGGCGAAACTTGTCTGCACACAGCCACCAAGCAGGACATGCTATCTCTAGTCAAAGTTCTCCTAGAATTTAATCCGCAGCAGCTCTATCGCGAAGATGCCTTCGGCCGAACCCCCGCAGAACTCGCTCATGATGGCCTCATTAACCACGTCTTCTCGCGGCCGTACCGCCCCGAAATCAACCGCAACGAACGAATCTCCGACATCGTCAACAAGCCTACCGAAGCTTACCGCGATGAAGCTATCTTCAAAGACAAAGTCGCCGACCAACTCAAGACCAACATTGCGGAGTTCGGTTTAAGCGGCGACTATTACGCCAAGGACCTCGCGCTAATCCTACCAGCCATGGGCATAGGTGAAGGCAAACTGCAGAGGAACTTGTCCACGGGCAAGCTCAAACAAGTAGAATGGGATTTGATGGCTAGTACAATGGAGAAACACGCTGGTAAGAGACGACTTGTGAGTCTCAATGAGGCGGATGATGTCGCTAGACGGCTGGGAGAGAAGCACACTGGCTCGCGGTACTTTAGTGTCGAGTCCCGAAGAGATGAGGACGACGAGGTGGCATCAGACGATGGAAAGGGAGATGAGAAGAACGATTTTGCCACGAGAGAGTTGGCAGATAGGTTGGCTAGTGCATGGCCGGAGGAGTAAAAAGGAGCTGAAGACAGTGACGAGGATAGTGATGATGAGTAGGTCGTCTGGGACAGGATGGTGCATGGAACACAAGACTCGGCTCAATCGCTAGTTTGCTTGTAATACAATGGCTTGATTTCATGTTTCTGTTACTATTGTGATTTCCTTCATGGTGCATAGCCATTAACATGATGTTTTATTGCGGATGGGAGAAGCTCCATCATGATTAGAATCCAAATACACTTCCTCAAACTCCAAAACTTCAAATCCGTGACTGATACCAGCATTGAGCCCCATATATATTTGCATACACTCTTCTGAAAAAAAAATCAAACTCCTCCACTCATGTACGGCTCACGCCACATAAACAGTAGCTTTGGGAGCTCCGTCGCCCCAAAGTCCAACCACAGCCATGGCGAATCCAAGCGCAGCCAGACCAGTACGCGCAAAGTAGCCCCTGGAAAGTCTCTCAACCTCAACCCTCACTTCTTCCCCGTTGATATCCTCGATGTCCTCCTCACTGGCCGGTTCGCTGTGAACGTCGCCAAGGACTTCATAGCTGGCTTCCATTCTAGCGCGCGGGGACGACTTCCTAGTCTGCTGGCGCTGAGCAGGACGAGAAGCAGGTTGGGGGAGAAGACGCGGGATAACGGTCGAGACAACTGCGAGGGCGGACGTATACAGAAGGTACGGGTGGCGAGCCCGGCGAGGCGAGAGAACGAAGGCAAGGAAGAGGGGCGCCGAGGCTAGCGATGTAAGTGTCAGGAGTGGCGTCTGCAAACTCGTGGTAAGGGAGGCGATGGCCTGCGAGGCGGATGCCGATGATGGGAGGCGCAGGAGCGCCGGGAGAGTGATGTTGGAGACGGAGTATGATACGCCCTGTGTTTGTGTTAGCAACGGTTCCGGGTGTAAGCCGAGGCGTGTGCGTCATCGAATTGGAGATGGCGATGTTGTGTGCCGGCCGCAAGTTTCAACACCTGCTGCTACCCAGAGCAAACATGTCGTGGGCCGCGCCTCGAGCACACATCACCGCCATTCCGAACGGTTTGTCAAGTGCAGGAACAGGCCAACGTACCGTCAGCAGCCCCAACGAAAACGTGCCCACGAATTTGAGGGCCGAGACGGCCTTTGCGCCAGCGCAGACCATGATGCTCGTTTGTATCGGTTGATATTTCTCAAGTCGGTCAAGGGCTCGATACAGTGGCCACAATAAAATTCCGGCAACTCAGACGAAAATGGTGACGCGTCGGAGCGGCCAAGAGGGGTTTGTTGGAGAAAGAGTGAGGAGTCAGTCGTTGGAGCTGGGGTGAGTGAGGCCACCAGGTAGTCGGGAGACAGCAGCCATTGCACAAGCCGAGCTCCAGCTGCACTAGACGGTTGTCAGTGGCCTTACGTCAAAGGCGGGCAATAGAGATCCCCCTCTCATTGGCCATCCGTGATGCAGTGAACAGTTTCCACTTTTTTTCGAATTCCCGCCCCACACGAACTACCAAAAAGCTGTTCCGTGTTTTTTTTTTAAACCCAAGCTCATCTGCTTTGTTTCCTTTCCTCTCCAACAACCGCCTCAGGAATCGGTAAGTACACATGCCCTTACACGCAAAAAATCCGTGCCCGCATATTTCAAAAATCGATCTCAATGATGAATTCTTTGTTTTCAAACCCTCCATAATAATAGGAAGAGCCGTCTGAGACACCCCTCGGGTACAGAAAGCCTTCTTTTTTTTTCCTTGAAGGCCGGACAACCCCTTGGCTGTAACACCAACTTGAATTTTCCTACCGATGAGTTTTGATCCCGCTGCTATTCCAAACTAGCGTCTCTGTCTCTTTTTATACATCGCCATATGTATTGAGCAGGGCGCCGGGGGAGTGAGGATCCTCGTTGTTGGGCAGGTTGGTGCGGTGGGGGGAGTGGTGCTTATACAATGGGTTTCTGAAGAGATTATTGTGTTTTTCTTTTTTTAAAAAAAAAGCTTACCCTTTTATTTTTGACCCAAGATTTGTCTGATAAGTGTTCAGAGCATTGAGTGCTGACATGGCTTTGAAAGGTTCCATACTACGACATCTCGAGCGGGCGGCATTCAAGTTCGAAAGCTATAATTTGATGTTGCGCTGCGCAACTCATGCCATCGTTATATAGCCCAGTAATAATACACTTTTCCATTTCGCCCGATCTCCAGTGCACCAAATTGTGTCTTTCCGTTAGTTGCCACCAACGTGAAGTGCACTTTTCAACCTTATGCTTCACTGTCACTGTCGATTACTTGTCTTCTGCCACGGGCAGGGCGTTTTGCAGCCAGGTGCTCAAGATCTGAATCTGATGCGTCCATTGAAATGACCTTCTCAAATGATTTTCTCCCAACAAGCGTGTTGACGTCGGGCATGTCGTCGCTTTCCTGTGTTGCTGAGAAGCGTGTAGGAACGTAAAACGGCTGCTTTGATTTCGCCTTGGGCGTACTTTGTGCTGACGCCGTCGTTGGTGATGTGACCTGCGATCCGACCATGCTTGATGTCGTTTGACGATCTGCCACAACAAAGTCCAAGAGATCCGCTCCATCATCTGATCCGCTACTTTCTATCAAATCACTATCCCGCTCACAATCGTCACCAAGTTCATCGCTATTGATGCCGGTTCTTTGTTTCGTTTTTCTTCCCTTTCGTTTACTCTTCGGCTTCTTGGTCCTCTTGCGAGCCCCGCCATTCATTGCCGGGGCCTCTGTATCATCTTCTAGTTCTGACGGTCCAGGGATAGAAGTTGTCGAAATCTTCCTTCTCTTGCCTCTTGAAGGCTGTGATTCTTCATGATCCGCCCCCACAGAGCGCTGGCGAGTCGATCGCTTCTTTGTTACTGAGTCAGAGGTATCGTCCTCTTCTGATTCTCCGTCAGATTCAACAAAAGGTCTCACCGCTATATCTTGAAAGCGGCTGGTATCCGTCGACCGGCATTGTCTGACGAGGCTCTCGGGCTCAGTGCCCATCTTTGCCAAGAGCTTGACAAAGCGTCGAGTGCAAGTGCCATGTTTCAGGTTTGCCACTGGCCGCAACTGCCTCTGAAAAAGGGGATATGCAGTCACACTAGGCATGTCTGTTTCTTCAACCACGCTATGATTGAAAGGTAGGTCGCGGTAAGATCTGTCGAGCTCCTTAAGCTCCTCCTCGGTCAGAACCACACTACTCAAATCCGGAATGCTCTCTAGGTCATTTAACTCTAGGTTCTGTTTAGGTCTCGATGGTTCTAGCTCTGAGCCACTTTTCATATAGTACGACAATTTTCGAAACCCAGTTTCCACCCCATCAGGCATGTGAAACTTTTTGGGTGGTTTCTTCTTTCCGGCAGCAGTGCGACGTTTCTTTGGCTCTGGTAGAGATCGGTCCTGCGTGTTTTCAATAGGTATCTCCACAAACTTCTTGGCCACCTCTGGTCTAATTTCCCGGGGAACGATTCTTGTTGACAGGTCAAATCGAAAGTTGAATCGGCTTCCTTCGCATATAAGTTTTTGCATATTCTCATAGCTGTCCTTGGATTTGGCAAATTGATCTTCCTCTTTTCCTCTCATTAGTAGCAGAACAATATTCCCTGCCCTCTTTCGTCCAGTTCGGCCCATTCTCTGCAACATCCGAATTGGCGAAGCGGATGAGTCGTAGCAAACAATAAGATCGACTTGGCCAATGTCCAGTCCTTCTTCACCGATGGAGGTGGCCACTAGTACATTGAATTCGCCCTTTCTGAACTTTTCAATAGTCTGGATCTGTTGTGCTTGTTTCATCCCTTCCCCTCGTTTTCCGTCCGCTTGTCCCACAAAGACGCTAGCCTTGAGAAGCGGTTGGTGCTTATTAAGTTGGCACACTATATCTTCTGCTGAATCCCGATACTCGCTGAATACGATCACTCGGGTAGCCGAGCCTTCTCCTTGGTCCATGAAATGGTTCAGAACGCAGTCTACCAACGCCGCAAGTTTGGGATGGCCAACAAAGCCGTCTGCTCTCAGCCATCGCGAGATGTGGTCCATCATTTTCTGAAAACTGGAATGCTCGATGAGTTGCCGCTTGTATTTCGATCCTTTTTCGCCCTTGCCTTCCTGCTCGCTTCTAAAGTCTTTCATATTATCATAAAATGGCTTAATCCCGTGAAAATTAAGTAGTTTTATCGAGTGTGCCAGACTAGTCAGCACACCAAAGATTGCCCGCATCATGAACTGGACGCCCTGATTTGCATGCCGGCCTCGAGTTGCGAACCATTCTTTCTGAGCTTGCATCAACCCATACGTAGTCATTGCCATTGGGTTTCGACCATAATAAGTATTCTGAGAGCCAAGTTTGTCGACAAGCGGTTTCAATGCTTCTGTGAACAGCTCGCTGACAAGGTTCATTTCATCCGATGGTTCAAGAACCATTTTTTCGACATTTCTTTGGTGGACATACTGCCTGATGTCAATCGAATCTTCTGTTCTGATTTCGCAGTGTGAAATGCCCAGGTTGTCAATAACTTCTTGGACCGTCTCAATTTTTGAGCCTGGCGTTGCGGTCAAGGCCAGAACTCGGAAACTCTTGGAGAACCTTCTAATAAGTTTTGTAACTTTTGCATATGCGTATTCGCCAACAGCACGATGGGCCTCGTCAATCACAAGAAGGGCGATGCTTTTAGGCTCCGCATACCCATGAGAGAGATCATTGAGTAGCGTTTGTGGTGTCATAAAAAATACGCGCCTCTTTTCCCACTCATCGGCTCTCAGAGCTGGCTGAATATCTCCCGTCAGCAAGGTCGTATGTGATCGCGGGATGCCGACGATGTTGTAGCAGGCGTCTATTTGTTGGGCGGCCAGAGGCTTCGTAGGGGCCACAAAAACGATCTTGGCTGATCTTGTCCATCGATAAAAGTTGAGCATGACTGTTGCGGCAATGAATGTTTTGCCCAAGCCTGTAGGCAAAGCAACGAGGGTGTTGTTAAACAGGCTGTTCTTAACAATGCTGAACTGGTAATCTCGAATCGCGCCTAGATTTGTTGGGTAGACCCACGTTTCCATTTCCTTCCTATCTAATTCGTGATGACTCGGCTCCTCGTGAGGCATGTCTGCTCGAAAGACTCTCTGTATGGGAGCTTGAGTATGGAAAGGCGCATCTTCACGAACCTCCGTCCCCCATAACGTCCTTTGCCGAAAGTTTCCCGAAGCAGTCCTAGTCAGACCGTCTTGCACTCTAGGTCCATTTGAGGCATTCCAAGATGCTGATTTTTTTGGCTCGGGTGAGGAGAAAGCATCTGAGGGTAAATCTTCGAGCTCTTGTGTCGCAGCTGCTAGAGAATTCGATTTCGTCCAGGTCTTATTTTCGAACTGCACATCATTTGATGACGGTTGCGGGACAGGCCGGGTTCTATTGGATGAAGATACCTGATCCAATACCTCAAGGAAATCCTCGTCGACAAAATCCTCCCCAAACTCATCATCATCCATGTTTGACGGGATCGACCAGTCAGGCCACTGTTGGACTTTTTGACACCTCTTTGTCACACAAAATACCTCTGTATGGATTGTATCTTACCTGTAGCCCACCGTACAGAAGCTCTATGCATACAGCCTCGTGTGAGTCGGTGGTTGTCACGTCAAGCGCCAGCTTGGCCATGTACGCGTTCTAGATATTGCTGCATGATGCGACACGCGAAATGAGAACCATATCACGTGATATCATTAGCCCTCTAAAAAAAAGTGGTCGCCTTATCCACCCATGGTTATGCCAAAAAATGAACAAACCTCGAACAGGCTCCATTCTTTAATTCGACGCTCATATAAGGCACTCGTTCAGGCACGGACCGGCGTCATTGTTTGAACATCAAAAGGAGAATCACTATAAACTGCTCATTCGCAGCTTACTCCGTACATCACGTTGACTGGGGCTGGTGCCTGGGATGCCTGGTCTCTTTGACACAGAAAAGTGGGCCTCGAATGGACGTCAGTCACCAGGCTTTCACGCGGACCCATGTGCGAAGCTGGTTCATTTCTTCTTCACAACATCGTCTCTACACACTTAGTGACCAGTCGCTCGCAATACCCAGCGCAAGTTCAGTCCATGTTTTTAAGTAAAACAGCGTTGACTTGCAGGCCGGCATTTCGGTATATAAGCGCTCATTGTAGCTAGCGACACGCTCAGCCACCCGAGCAACTTCTCTCACATCACTGCTTGGTTTGATGCGCGCCGTCTCGTCTGTCTTTGAGGCACTGCTCTTTTTGTTTACTCCCTTTCTTCTACCCATTGATACATCTTCGATTCATCGGTGGCTATACTTCCAACAGAAGTGCTTACGCGGCCATTAAAGAACCCTTCTCTACCAACACAAACAACAGCTATAAACATCAAGCCCCCCGGCCGTCGAATCGCGCGTTCACCTTTCCTGAGGTAACTAAGACGAAACTACAAAAACTACCTAGCCAGCTGCTTTTCAAAGTAACAACAAGTCCCCAGCGCTGAGTTCTATCACTTATCCCGTTTCTTGGCCTTCCGCACGACTCCTCAATATGGCTCCCCGAGGTCCTCGAGCAGATGCCGCCCAGCGAGCAAATCGAGGTGCCACAAACAGAACCAAGGCTACAACTAAGGGAGGCATACAAAAGAGGAGGGTCGGTGTAACAAGGACCGACGTGGATGGCGATCTTGACATGGACAGCGTCGGTAAACAAGCTGCAAGAGGTCCGGGAACCGAAACGAAGGTTTCAAAAGCAAAAACAGCGAAAGCCGCCCCGGGAAAGCCGACTCGAGGCACCTCGGCAGCAGCTAAATCATCTTTGAAGCATCTAGAAGGGAAAAATTCCAAACTTTCTGCAGCCAGCTCAGGGCGGGCTACCCGAGCGAGGGGCAATGGAGCCGACTTGCACTTCCTCCGCGTGCATGGATTAAAACAGAGCAAAGCAGCAAGCAACCCGGACGGCGGACTTAGTGATCTATTGATCTTCTTGGAGAGAAAAGCGTCTTCATTCACTACGGGAGGTCAAACACCACATATTGACATAAAAGAGGTATGTCGGCCATGAACGCAAGATGCAGGGCGCCATCGTCTAGGCAGAAGTCGCAATGCTTGCGCACTGACGGCTTCGATACGGCTATCTTCGTTAAGACACATTGCTCAGACGAAGAGATGTTTCATCCGGCCCCGGTTATGAAATTTCCAGTTTTATAGTTACTCGCTAACAACAAACAGACTCACATGGTTGGAGATTATGTCTTTATTGGTGCTGCGAAGGAGGATGCGGACGAGATCCTTAAACTCAACACTTTCACATTCGCCGGCGCACAACTGGAAATTGTCGAATCGACCGAGGATTTGCCAGGCCAAAGTAAAGTAACAAGATCCAAAGAGGGCCAAGAACTTGCAGCCAAATTTCAGTCCATTTTGAGTCAACGGTATATTAGCGCAAACAAGTTATTGAAACTTGATGCACTTGCTTCTGACGCCGAACTTGTCACAATGGGCATGTTTCAGAACCCGGATTTAGCACAAAGATCATTCAAGGGTCTTATGGTCATTTGTGATGAGCTATTCAAGACGGAAGATGAGAAGAAGGAAGCTATTGAGAGCATCAGTCTTGCGAACAACAGTATCAATGACGTTTCTGAGGTTGACTCGGTAGCAACGACATTTCCGTATTTGAAGAACCTGGATATGAGTGGGAATCAGATCGCCAACATGGCGGCCCTGGAAAGGTGGAAAGGCAAATTCAAGTCACTAGTAACGCTCTACATGACAGGCAATCCTATCGATACTACCGATCCGAACTACAAAACAACACTATTACAGTGGTTCCCAAATCTGCAGGATATCAACGGTGTGCAGGTCCGCACCGCCGAGGAAATTGCTGAACAAGAAGCTGCATCAAGGCCAAAGCCTATCCCACAAAGTGGCCCGGACTTCCGCGATGTGAACGGCATTGGCGAGAAGTTTCTTCTGGAATTCTTCGCCGCCTACGACAATGACCGACAAGGCTTGGCGTCTAGACTGTACGATGATCAGAGCCAATTTTCGTTGGCCATTGACACACAGTCCGTTAGGGACAAGGACGCCCCCGCTCCGATGGGATGGGGTTCATACATCAAGGTGTCTCGAAACCTGATGAAGATTACATATCAAAATGCCAGAGTTCAACGACTTTTCAAAGGTGCCAACGTCATCTACGAGTTGTGGAAAGGTCTCCCACCAACGAAACATCCCAACATCAAGGACGACCTGAGCAAATGGATCATGGACTGCCACCCACTACCCGCTCTTGCTGACCCTACAGGCCAAAACCCAATGGGCGTGGACGGTCTGATCATAGCGGTACATGGAGAGTTTGAAGAATATGACGAGAAGACAAACGTTGTTGGGAAGCGAAGCTTTTCACGTTCCTTTGTTCTCGGTCCTGGTCGGCCTGACAAGGGCCCTATTCGAGTCGTCAGTGATATGCTTGCCCTCAGAGCGTTTAATGCGCTACCAAACGTCTTTCTTGCGCCGAATCAGGCTCCTGGTGGTAGCAATAACAACACCAACACCAACAGCCAACATCAGGCCATGATTGCTGAACTATGCAAACAAACTGGCATGGTACCGCAGTATTCGGAAATGTGTCTGGCCCAGGTTGGGTGGGACTTTGATAAGGCATTGGTGATATTCAACGAGAAAAAGGTACGTGCTATTGTACTGTGACGCACTTGTACAGAGTCTAATCATTTGCAGGCGGAACTACCATCAGAGGCATTCGCTGTACCACCTCAGTAAGTTAGCGTGGGACAGGTACCATTACAAAACACCATATATCACAAAGACGACCTGTGACCAGTTCACGTCGAATTAGGGGCTATCAGGAGCGAGGAAGCACCAAAGCATTGCTTGGCGTCATTGAGCGGCGGAAAGAAAAATGAAGAAAGGGGGGACTATTGGGTTTATTTGACATCATGTTTTCTTTGAGTTTGGACGGGCTAGCAGAGGCGTGAAAGTGGCTTTTCCTTCTGTGCTGGTGCCAGAATGATGACTGTATGAATAGATTTTTGATGGCTCGTCAGAAAGATTCAATGGACATGCTTGACGGCCAATGAAGTCATGGGCAGATTGAAGATGTTGCAGTGAAATTGCACGCGCCAGGGAGGATATATGCCACAAGACTGGATGCGACGCAAATTGCAGGCTGGAAATGGGGATTTCAGTTGGGAGGTGCAGGTGTAGGGTAGTATTGGACCGGGACAGCATCATCAACTAGGCTGTAGTGTAGGATGGAACCGGAATAGAGAGGAACAAAGGCAATCATCACCAAATCATCGACTGACCCGTATATGGCATGTAACTACTCCGTACCTAGGTACCTAGCACCTAGGTGGCAGTGAAACTCCTCGGCACATAGTTATCCAAGTCGCTCGTGTGCGGAGTGCCCATGGGTCCCCAAAAAAAAAAAAAAAAAAAAAAGGGTCGAGCACACTCTTTTTTGTCTTGGGCGCCAACGACGACGTGTGACATCAATTCATCCGTGCGTCTGCCTCCAACCACGATGTGTTGCTTGTAGGGAGTCGCCTGGGAAGGGGGAAAGAAGATGAGAAGCACCTTCCTTGCCACGCACGATAAGCACGGTAGTACGGAGCACGCAAGTTAGCTTACGAGGCGCAGCCAATCAACCAGCGCTGTGTATGGGCACCATGGTAGGTGGTGGGAAGCCGCGCGCGTAGTCATAGGGTGGGTGATGTGACTGGACACATTCGTCACTTTGTGTTTGGGCTCTTTGCTGGCCCAGGAAGGTGTCGGCGTGCCGCTGCAGGGCTGTTCGGATACGTTCACTGGTGGCTACGGTGACACCACTCATGCAGTTTTTTGGGACACGCAGGGCGAAGTTCAGAGTCTCCCTTGATGTGGGTGTTGTGATTCAATGATTCACTTGGGCGGGCCTTTTCTTTTTCTTTTTTTTTTTTCCGGTCAGTAAACTAGGACTATTTTGTGTTCAAAATGCCGAATTCGAAAAGAAAAAAAAACGAAAGTAGGAAGACTATTGTTTTTGGTCTTGGTGATGGTTCTTGTCCACCAGAGGCAGAACCGCTCGGGTGCATATGAGCACCTACCTCAAGTACCTAGTAGGTGCCTTACCTGCGACAATGGAGTGAGTGCAAATGAAGTATAGTTTGGGTTAGCAGAACTTTATATAGCTGCAAAAAGGGTCCATGGAGAAGCAGCCTGACCTGAATCTGCGTCGCGGTGGCTGCCATCAGGCGATAACCGGGCCCAATGGCCGGGGTAGGACTTTTGCCATGAAGGGTACCGAGGTACATACCTCGCACGTGGCTCGCAAATACCCGGTACCTTGATGCTCACAGTTACTGTTAACACCACGTTGTAGTTGTGGGCAGCTCTGCTGGCCGGTCCCAGAGATCGACTTCTTTGGGCCAAACCCACACCAGGTACGTTGTCGTCGATGCATGAATTGGGAGAATAGCCCACATCCCC